TTTTTAATGAGAAAAAGTCATATTTCTATATCACTTAAACTTGTAATTTATTTAGTCTTGTTTCCTTAAACTCCCAAAAACCACTTTAATCTCATAATGTTATCAATTTTCTCAAAGTGGCCCTAAGAGTCCGTCATGCTTGGTCAAACAGAATTAAATCGCCCTCCAGGTATCAGTTTGTTCTCCTGTGTTCTCCTGAAGAAATGCAGGATATCAGGGTTTATTCATTAATTAAGAAATCATAATTAAAAAGGTGAGAGAAACTTGGATCTGTGCGGCACTCTTTTAGGATTTAGTGATTAAAGCTCCCTTAACATCTGTGCATCCTGTGTGTGTGTGAGAGTGTTTCACGTCAGGTGTCTGCAGGACCTTTCCTCCAGCAGCGCATGCACCGTCACCCCGAGCCTCACAAGACCTTTTTCCTCCAGGATGTGATGGGGGAGACACAGCTTGTCCTGGGGGAGGAAGAGGAGGAAAGAGAGACAGGATTTAGACAAAATGCAAGTAAACGTGGGAGTGTTTGTGCATATTAAACCCCTTTGAATGTCTCCACTAATGCTGCAAAAACACGTTTTCAACACTTTTACTCCAGGAATTAGCCACAGCCCAAACACACCTTTTCACTACTTTGATTCCAGGAATTAGCCACATCCCAAAATAAATACCAATAAGCGTCTCCTGCAAAATGTAGTTAAGCGTATTTGTTAAGGACATTATAATTGTAACCTGCATTTATGAACAAGATGCATTGTGTTTATTTTTTAGTAAAAAAAGGCACATTTACACTTCCCACTCAAAGGACTTGACTTTTATATTTTCCCAAATATATTTGTACATACATATTACTGCCATTATGTTTTTTTTATAGGACATATTTTACACATCACAATAAAGTACAGTAAACTACGGCTACTGACTATTATTGTGATCATTATTCAGGGTTTAGTCTGTAAGTTATTTAACAAAAATCACTATTTACTGTTAAGCAATACATACAAGTATATCTTATGGCACATTTCCACTGCCACTGCCCCGTTTAAGCGTCCCTAAGCGTCCTCGCTCAGGCCTCAGGCTGCCTCGCTGGCCGTCCGAGGCCGTGGTGCATTTCCATTACAGTTTAGGACCTGGGGTAGCAACGCAGTGTAGGCGGGGCATCTGTGCTGAGACATTCTGGAACACTTTCACATTTCGAGTTGTTCCGTCAAGCTCCCGCTGGATTTTATCATCCCCAATGAGATGTAGGAACGTCAAAAAATGCTGTGTATAAAAATGCTGCAAGCTTGCTTCTAGATATATATGCGACGCTAGGGATGATCTCGCGCGTGATCTTGTGACGATTCTCTCTGACCAATCAGCAGTCGAGAGTGTTGACGTCACTAGTTCAGCCCTGGCCCTGGCCTGATAGAACCACGATTTTATGGGCCCGGAAAAAGAGGGAAAAAGTACCCGCTAGCCACGGTATAGCTACGCTATATGGAAAGGCCACCAAAAACTGGCCTGGCCGCTTGAGGACGATTAAGGACGCTTAAACGGGGCTACCCGCTGCAGTGGAAATGCACCATTAATTAACCTGAGCCTGTTTTTCAGGTCTCAGGCTTGAAAATGAAATTCCCAGAACAAATGACTATAACTTCACTTCTAAAAGGGGTAAATTAATAATCTTTTTTCTCAAAGCAATGATAAACCTGTGAGTTGGATGTAGAACAGTCAGAATCAATATAGCATTTTTTTATTTTAAAGTAAATCCAGATTGAACATGAAAATGTAAATCATAGTGTCCGTCCAAAAAAAACATTACTTATAGGGAAAACCACCCTTGAATGATGGGATAAAAGACTAAAAGTTTTAGGAATCCAAACTATAGGCGCTTTCACACCGGAGTACTTTTCCCAGTATAGTTCCGAAAATGTGCGTTCACACCAAAACAATCCGGAACTAGAACTTAGTTCATGAGAACCTTTTCACCCCCTTTTCAGTCCCTGCTAGAGAGCAGGTACTTTCGTGGGAGAAAAAGGTTCCCATTTCTGATTGGCTGGGCGGATTGCAAACCACGCCCCGTAAAACTCCCAAAAAGTTTTGAGAAGCCGCCATTTTAATTCCCTCGCATTAGCATTATTAGCATTAGCCTAGCGCACCAACGCAGAGAGACTAACTTATGGCAACACAAAAGAAAACATGGGAGCGGTGGAGATGAGGAGGTGTCGGCGTTCTGGCGATTTACTCGTAAGGCTTCAGTAGAAGCTGCTGGGAGTCCCAGCAGCTTCTACTGAAGCCTTCCCCAACTCCGGGGACTTCGAGTTGCAGTATACGCCGTGAAGGTGGTTGCGGCCTGCCAGTAAACCCAAAGCAGAAGAAGTGACGTCAGTGGCTTCATTTGCGTAATCTTCCCCGAGGGAACTTATTCCGGTGTGAATGCAATCGGCTCTTAGTTCCATGGGGGAACTAAGTGCTGGGAACTAAGTACGGCAAAGTACTTGGTGTGAAAGTGGCTATTGACATATAATAAGTACCCTGTATCAAGATTGATGCAAAACAAGTGATATTTGACCTTTTTAGAGAGATTTAGAAAAAAACCCACTTCTGGGGTCATTTGGGTGGATTTTCCATATCTCTGGCCCCCATTGGTCGATTTTGATGATTGACATCTCTTGTTCACCGTTAGAGCCAATAGAATCAAGGGGAGGTTCCTAAAATCCATCTAAACCAGGGGTGGGGAACCTTTTTCCTCTCAAAGGCCATTTCAATGTTTTCAACATCCTCCGAGGGCCGTACAAATTATTGACCTCTGCTTAAAAATCACAGCCCATTCATTTGGCCTTTCTTTCATTCTGTGCAAAGAAAAAGCAACCTCTTAATCCAGATATCTTGCCATGACTCGCGTATGCATGCACGGGTGTGGCATGACCTCCAAACAGAAAGATATGGACACAAGATGTGTGCAAATGTATTTAGTTTCCTATCCATGTGGACATGATTTAAGTGGGGGGGACCTAACCTCCTCTAGGGGGGTCCGGGGGGGCATGCTCCGGGATCTGGTGCACTTTGAGAGCAAAATTAATAGATCTATGGATACATCTCTCAACATCCATATGAAACAGAACGGTAAGCAGATTTACTTTTTCTTTATGGATATTTTACAAATCACTCTCCTTTCAAACTGTATTCTTCTTTATTAATAACAACTTTGTTTTACTGTCATATAGTATTTTATACCTGTTTACTTTATTCTCTTATTTTTTTATAACTATAATGATCATAAAGATGTGCCTTTACCTCACTGGTTGGAGAAAAGGCTTCTTATATTCGTTAGCATAGCTAGCTAACCAGATGCTAATAACAACAAAGCTATTGACTGTATGATCAGTGTGACAGATGAACAGATCGCCACTGGACTTTCAGCTAAAGACACAGCCACGCAAAAACTGTGACATGTGTACGGCTCCTTATGGGTACTGCAATATGTGAAGTGCCGGAGCTGCGTTCTGGTGCTCTCCGTCAGAACTACACCCCTGTCAGACGAGACATGTACCACGTGATGACACGTTAGGCTCGTGTTGTGTTCAAGGACCATGACCGTTGCCAGGAAAAACAGGCACTCGCTTGTTTAATTATTTTGGGGTCTAGATTTCTTTAATTTATTTATTTTTAATTACCTTGAGGGCCATACCAAATGGTCTCGCGGGCCGGAAACGGCCCGGGGGCCAGAGGTTCCCCACCCCTGATCTAAACATTACCAATTGGTGAATGAGAGATGCGTTACCAGAATGCCCAAAACCGGAAGCTGTCATACACACAGTGCTGGGAACTAAGTGCTGGGAACTAAGTACGGCAAAGTACTTGGTGTGAAAGTGGCTATTGACATATAATAAGTACCCTGTATCAAGATTGATGCAAAACAAGTGATATTTGACCTTTTTAGAGAGATTTAGAAAAAAAAACACTTCTGGGGACATTTAGGTGCATTTTCCATATCTCTGGCCCCCATTGGTCGATTTTAACGATTGACATCTCTTTTGAACCGTTAGAGCCAATAGAATCGAGGGGGAGTTCCTAAAATCCATCTAAACATTACCCATTGGTGAATGAGTGATGCGTAGCCAGAATGCCCAAAACCGGAAGCTGTCATACACTCTCGTAGCTATCATAGCAGCTAATAGGAAATCTCCGTTATTGACATAAATATGAAGATGGATTATCAGTAATCATTTCAAAGTGACACAGACACATTGAATGAACCTATGGATTAACATTCAGCAGCGTTTTTATCGTTTTAGTTCCATTGAACACAACTTTCGATCAGAAACAGCAAAAGGTGAGACATATTTCCCGTGTTTGCTCCGTAAAGCTACGTGGTGTGATGTCTGGTTTAGCTTCCCCTGCCGCGAGTTCTGATCGCTCAGTGATGATACTTATATTTCTAGAATCTGTGGAATCTCATCTTGTTAGCTGATATCTTGTTTGTGCAGATCCGATAAGTAATAAGGATATTTTACCGTGAGTTCTGTGCTAAGTGCATTAGCATTGTTTCGCTCAGGGCTAATTCAGAAGCTTGGTATTACCCTTGGGGCATGTGGCTGAACTGGTTAAATAAAATGCTGTAGTAAAACATGATCTGCCTAGCAACAGGATTCAAACACTTTATATTTCCTCCACTGGTTATTTTAGACTCATATTTGGAGGTTTTGTGTTAAATGTCCTCCTCTTGCTGAATATGAAACCCTAAAACACATCTAAAGGAAGTTCTCCATAGTTAGTTTTGTAACAAGTGAGCCCTCTTTATTTTCTATTCATTAAATAATATATTTAAATGTTTGGCCAATCAGCTTCCTCTTTCTTTTTTTACCTGTTGTTACTTCCCTTTCCCCCTGAAGACAATAAGGGAACGTAACATGATTTAAATGAATAATAACAGCTGTTGGCAGGTACATAAAGCGTCTGATGAACACAAGTAAACTCATGCAAATTAAAGGTAAACAACGACTCTTTCAAAACAGACGTTATCCCTAAACTGCATTTATTTCCTCGGTCTTTAACGGTCACATATCGTACACAAGTCTAAGAAATAATCCATTCACATCATCACAGAAACAGTAATGTAAATGTTCTGCCAGAAGTCATTCACAGAAACCTAAATAACCACGTCTATAATTAACAGAAATTAACATTTTAAGTGCATTTTGTTTTTATCTTACACTGGTTTGTGTCTGTGTTCAGTTTCTGTGCATGTTTACATCCCTCTCAATATCACAAACAGAGCGCTAAGATAAACAGATAATATATATATATAACTTCATAAATCTAGAGTCTATAGCCCTTCAAATGTCTAACTCTTTCACATTGCATATCAGGAGATAGAAAATAAGAAATGCAGGACGAAATGAATACATTCATTTAAAAACACGAATAAATAAATGCGTTAATAGATAAATAACTAAGATTAGAATTAATAAATACATTTTTTTTAATTATTATTAATAACAAATAAATAAGTAAATAAATAAACAAATAAATAAGTTAATTAATTAATAAACAAATAATGAAATTAATAAATACAAAATATAATTTAACAAGAAAATACATTTAAAAATACATAACAAAATAAATAAATACATTTCCTATATTTTCTAAGTTTCAAAACAGCACAGGGAAAACGTCTAAAAATAACAATTAATGTTGAAATTAAAACCCATTATAATAATCTATATGGCTTCCAGGTGCTCGTTCTGTCTTTATCACACAATAGAAAACATGCTTTGTGCACAGAGTTTTATAAAGTCCAGTTACTCTGAAATACGGGGACACTAAAGAAAATATTAACCAATAATCACAAAGATGCAGGGGATATTAGGCGGCCATTTTGGACGTCTGCGCCACTTCTGATTGTTTTACTTTGTTCTGTATCATCTTGGTAGAAATGTGTTATTTGTAATTCATGGGACAGTAGCTATAGGTATATATATATATAACACAATTCAAGAAAACGTGTTGCTTTTCATGGTAAAATCAAAATGCTAATTCTGCAGCAGAGCAGAAGAAGAAGATGCAAGATGGTGTCATTACAAAGCGGCATAAAAACGTGAAAATATACGAAGTGGGCGGGACTTTCAGTTGACCGACAGTAAGTGGGCGGGACTTACAGATGACTGACAGTAAGTGGGCGGGACTTTCAGATGATCAACAGTAAGTGGGCGGGACTTTCAGATGACTGATAAGAAGTGGGCGGGACTTTCAGTTGACTGACAGTAAGTGGGCGGGACTTACAGATGACTGACAGTAAGGGGGCGGGACTTTCAGATGATCAACAGTAAGTGGGCGGGACTTTCAGATAACTGATAAGAAGTGGGCGGGACTTTCAGTTGACTGACAGTAAGTGGGCTGGACTTTAAGATGACCGACAGTTAGTGGGCGGGACTTTCAGATGACTGATAAGAAGTGGGCTGGACGTTCAGATTATTAACAGTTAGTGGGCGGGACTTTTAGATGACTGACATGAAGAGGGCGTGACTTTCAGATGACTGACAGTAAGTGGGCGGGACTTTTAGATGACTGACAGTAAGTGGGCGGGACTTTCCGATGACTGACATGAAGTGGGCGGGTCTTTTAGATGACTGACAGTAAGTGGGCGGAGTCTACTTGATGTCTGACAAGTAAGTAGGCGGCACTTTTAGATGACTGACAGTAAGTGGGCGGGACTTTCAGATGACTGACAGGAAGTGGCGGGACTTTTAGATGACTGACAGGAAGTGGCGGGACTTTTAGATGACTGACAGTAAGTGGGCGGGACTTTCAGATGACTGACAGGAAGTGGCGGGACTTTTAGATGACTGACGGTAAGTGGGCGGGACTTTTAAGATGACCGACAGTTAGTGGGCGGGACTTTCAGATGACTGATAAGAAGTGGGCGGGACGTTCAGATTATTGACAGTTAGTGGGCGGGACTTTCCGATGACTGACATGAAGTGGGCGGGTCTTTTAGATGACTGACAGTAAGTGGGCGGGACTTTCAGATGACTGACAGGAAGTGGCGAGACTTTTAGATGACTGACGAGAAGTGGGCGGGACTTTCAGATGACTGACAGGAAGTGGGCAGGGCTGACAGGAAGTGTCTGTGTCCACGGTTACGTGAGCTCGCTCCAGCTGTAGGCGAGGAACAGCAGAACGAGGCAGAGCACGTGAAGAAGACTCGAGCCAATCAGGTCCCAGATCTGCCAGGAAGGGGGCGGGGTCTGAGTGGTGACGGACACCAATGAGGGGGAGGAGGGAGCTGGGCTCTTAGATGGGACCGCCACTTCCTGTTTCCTGTCTGGAGAGGAAGTATCGAAGGAAACCAGCGCCTGCACCGTGACGCTGAGAGGCTGCAGGCGACTCTGGATGATGTCATAGGGCGAGCAGAAGGAGGACTGGCACCCCCGAAAACAATACGTGAAGGAGAGGAAACAAGGGAGGAGGAAACAAGGGATAAGGAGGAAGAGGAAAGGGAATGAGGGATGCCAAGGATGTGAGGGAAGGAAGAAAAAATAGGAAATGATAGATAGAACAAAGACGAGAGGAAACAAGGAGGAGGAAAAGGAATGAGGAAGAGGGAAGAAAAGGGAACAAGTAGATGAGGGAAGGAAACAAAGGAGGAGCAAAAGGATTGAGGCAGAGGGGGAACATGGGGGATTAAGAGATGAGGAAAGGATACAAGGGAGAAGAAGAGGAAATGATTAGGAAAGGGAACGAGGAAGAGTTAAGAAAAATTGAATAAGACGATGAGGGAAGGATACAAGGGTATACAAGGGAGGGGAGGAAGAAAGGGAATACGAAAAAATTGGAAATTAAAATCAAATGAATTTGAGACGAGGAGAGAAGCAAGAGAGAGGAAGATGAAAAAAGATTGATGAATAGTATGTGGAAGAAAAGGAAGAGGAGGTGAGAAGATGGAGAGGAACGTTTGAAGGGTTAGGAGTTTTACAAATAGAAAGGATAAAAGATGGATGGAAAAAAACACAACACCAGGAGGAGGAGGAGGAGGAGGAGGAGGAGGAGGAGGAGGAGGAGGAGGAGGAGGAGGAGGAGGAGGAGGAGGAGGAGGAAAGATGAAGATGGAGTTAACAAGCAGGTGATAAAAGAGGAAGACGAGGATTAAGGAGGAGATTAGAGATGAAGGAAAAAGGAAACAACAGAGAAGAGAGAGAATACAAAACAGAAATATAAAAAGTGAAAAACAAAAAGACGTGTCATCGACAAAGAGGAGGAACGATCCAGCAGGAGAAAGAAAGAAAAGGTCGGAGGTTAACCAATGAAAACAGAGGTCAAAGGTCACAGAGGAGGAAGTGAGGAAGAGGAGGGTGATTACTGAGAGGAGGAAGATAAATCACATCTCTCTCTCAGTAAACACACCGGGGTGATGGAGAGCCAGCACGTTAGCACAGAAGCTAATCATTAGCACGTTAGCCGCGGAGAAGCTGTTAGCACGTTAGCTCGCATGAAGCAAAGCATTCACACAGAGGTCAGCAAGCAGCAGCAAGATGGAGGTCAACGGCTCACAGCGGGATAAATACACGTATACAAATGTTGTGTAATCTCAAAGAGAAGACTAAGAGGAAACTGATTTTTTTTGTTCGATCTCAAGACAAAAAACACGGCGTTGAAACATTAAAATACAAACAAATATATTACAATTATCACATTTAAAAGAACCAAATTATCCTGATTGATGATATTTTAAATGAGGTGGTGTCAGACTTCCCTTTTTACTTTTCCTTCGTTTAATTTAAAGATTAAAAATGATGTTGTTATTATTTTGGTTTCTCTATTGACTCCTAATCCCTCAAATTGATATTGTGCACGTCTGTAAAGTAAATATGAAGCCATAAACTTTGAGTAGCTAGAGTTTGAGAATCCCCTTAAAAGGCACCAATTTAAGCCGTACTAAAACAGTGTAAATGCGACAGATCAATGTTTAATGTACCAGATGATTTCTTGGTCGGTGCCTGTTCTTTAATCTAGAAATAGTCAAGCACATAACGCTCTGTAAAAACATCCATTTGTCATTTTTCTGTATCCGTTTTTGGTCCGGACTAAGCGAAAAGTATATATTGTGTTTACATGCACCAAATATTCAGCTGGTTCCAGATAAGCAATATACACACACACACACACACACACACACACACACACACACACACACACCACACACCACACACACACACACACACACACACACACACACACACACACACACACACACACACACACACACACACACTTATACACACACACACACACACACTTATACACACACACACACACACACACACACACACACACACACCACACTCTGCTTCATTCTCCTGCCTGCTGTCATGATGGAGGAAGCTGAAGCCACAGGCAGCGATGATGAAGATGATGAAGATGACTCAGCGTTAAAAACCCATTTAAAGCGACATGAACAAAAAAAGGAGCAACAACAAACCAGAGCTGGGAGACGCTGAGGGCTTCACTAGTTTATACTTAAATAAAGAAACACCATTTGGGAAGTAGGAGAAGATTATTAAACTGTTTTAGTCAACATTTTTGATTACATCTCCATGCTAGTCTCCAATATGCAGTGTCCTGCAAATATTACTTTTTTAAAGATTTCTCTTTACATTCTGAATTTTTTCTCGAAAATCTAATTTTTAACATTTTTCATAAAATGTACTTTTTTTTTTAAAGATTTGTGATTTTCCTTTAGATTCAAAATGTTTTCTCAAAATAGAAAAAAATCTGAAATCTTGAAAAAACTGAATTTGAAGAAAACATTTAAAAATCTGAATCTAGAGAAAAATCTAAAATCTTAAAAAAAAGTAAGATTTTTTATTTAGATTCAGATTTTTTTCTAAAAAAATAATATATTTTTTTCTTCAAATTGACTTTTTCTTTAGATTTCAGATTTTCCTTTAGATTCTGAATTTTGTCTCAAACAATCTAATTTTTATCATCTTCTTATCTTCCTGCTGAACTGATGAAGATAAAACGACGTAAAGGTTGACGTGCTGTTAAAATCCTTAAATCTTCAGCCTCCTCCCAGACCTGGTTCAGATTGTATTGTCGTCGTCAGCGTCCTGCAAATACTTTCTCCTCACTTGCCGTCAGAGATCAGAACATAAACTCTCCATTTCCTGTCCCTGAAGACTCTTGTTTTTGCAGGACACTTCTTCACACATCTTCTAAATCTTATTCAACAATCAGCCAACTGAAGCCACACATGATGATGGAGTTATGGGGGAAGTTCCTCTCATGAACCGGGGGGTTTCTCAGGTCAGAGGTTGCTGGTTCAAATCCCTGCATGTAGTTTATAACCTGGTGGTTTAGCAGGAGAACTTTCCATACGTCAACAAAACTGGACAATTAGCAACTCATTGGGTTTAGTTGCTTTGAGTTTTCTATTCAAATCTCTGCAGCATTCAGGGTATCTTTTCTGTGTTCCTTCGACTAAATTAAGACAATAGTGACTACATTTCCCATGATGCTTTGGGAAGTGTTGCTATGGATTCAGTGAGTTATGCAGCAGCTAGTGTCTTTTAATAATTACGTTCCCACACAAGTAAAATGTCGATTAACGTTTGTTTTTCACGTCTCACACATTTGTTGCGTTAGGAAAAGGTGGAGAGGTCGGACAAAAGTCAACGTCGACTCAATTGAATTAAATCCATAACAAACATCTATTTAAAACCAAAGTCGCATGCTTTTTCTAAACCCTATCAAGTACTTTTCTGGCTTCTTTGATGTGTTTGGTTTCGATTTACAACATTAACACAAGCTCAAAAGTAATCCTGGCAAATGTGATGAATCTCCAGCGACTTCTGCAGGATCTATCTTTACGTCAGAAATAGTGATATCCCCAGAAAGTGTAATATGAGACTAAATGTGTTTCCTATCTGAAAGGATGCATCCTAACACTGATACTTACAACTGTAGCACCAGGCGGCATGATTTAAAAGAACATTAATCTCTCATTTCTCATTCTGTGTCGACTTGAAGACGCCCCCCAGTTCAGAGAGTAGGGAGGGGAGGGGGTTATTATATATTATTATATAAGTGAGGGAGGGGGTTATTTGAGAGATGTCTTACCTGTGGGACCCCGATTTTCCTGCAAGCGTCCAGAAAGTTCTCCACATTTCTCCGACACTTAGCCATGCTGAGTTTGGGCTGCAACGACCAGGAAACACTGTTCAAATCAACATGTTTCAATCTAAATATTAAAGATACACGACCGTATTGACCTGATTGTAAGACGACCCACTCTTTTTCAAGAGTTTTCATTTTTGGAAAAATACCTTTTTGAAGAGCAAATCTTGTTTTTACAAAGAAAATAATTGTATTGTAAAATAATGATATCACATCACACATTGTGTTCAAATGTTGCGGACCGCTGAGTGCTTTTCTCTGACTGTTTACATTTTTAAGACGGTCTTTTTGGGCTCTCCATCTTCTAACGTTACTCTCAGTAACTCCATATTTCTTTGCTGCTCGACGACTCTGCTTCGTTGATCACCATTATCTTCAAATTGGTATCGTAACATCGCCTCTCTTGTTTATTAACTTGCCTACTTTTGAGCATCTTCAGTACCGTCCCAGTGGCCTTATTTTAGCCGGAGGGTCGAGGAACTACCAGACCATCCTACGGTGAAATCCTCAGACACTCGCCCCGCCCCCTTACTGTGTATCGCTCACTGATTGGACGATGCAGCGCATGCACTGATCTGGCTGCTGTCAGACGATCAGCTGTGTGGCGTCATCACAAACGGACGTCGCTTCACGTGACGCTCCGGAGGAAAGGACGTCCCATTGCTCTTAAAACTCATTTCCCTGCTTCTCGTGGTTTCCTTGCGTCTCTCCATGCTTCCCTGGTGGGAGGGACTAGACGCAGGGAAACGACGCAAGTGAAGGACGCAAGGAATCCATTTAACCGAAGTGAGATGCACCCTGTGTCTCACCATCTCTTTCTCTCTACCTGTTGCTGTATTAGGAGTCATTTCCTAAAGGAAGAGGACTTCTTTAACCGCTCTGTGGGAGCCAGCATCCTTGTTTGTTGCAAGGGGATCAAATACTTATTTCCCACAGTTAAAACCCTTTCATGCATCGAGGTCACTACAGTGGACAGCTATTCAAAAGATGTTTTCTTGTATATGCATTGGTTTTGTTTGCATAGTTGCACCATCAGCCACTACATAGGACCCTATTGCATCATCCCATACACTGCCCCTCAGTGGAGAGTCAGTGGAAGTGCATGATACATGTCTCTAAACCAGGGGTGGGGAACCTTTTTCCTCTCAAGGGCCATTTCAATGTTTACAATATCCTCAGAGGGCCGTACAAATGATTGACCTCTGCTTAAAAAAACTAAAATCACAGCCCATTCATTTCATTCTGTGCAAAGAAAAAGCAACCCTCTCAATCCAGATCTCTCACCATGACTCGCGCATGCGTGCACGTGCACGTGCACGGTGTGGCGTGACCACCAAAACAGAAAGATATGGACACAAGATGTGTGCAAATGTATTTAGTTTCCTATCCATGTGAACATGATTTAAGTGGGGGGGGCCTAACCTCCTCTAGGGGGGGTCCGGGGGGGGCATGCTCCCCCGGGAAGATTTGTTTTTAAATGTTGAAGTTAAAAGCATCAATCTGGTGCACTTTGAGAGCAACATTAGGAGATCTATGGAAACATCTCTCAACATCCAGATGAAACAGAACTGGAAGCACATTTATTTTTCTTTATGGATATTTTACAAATCACTCTCCTTTCAAACTGCATTCTTCTTTATTAATAACAACTTTGTTTTACTGTCATATAGTATTTTATACCTGTTTACTTTATTCTCTTTTTTTATAACTATAATGATCATAAAGATGTGGCTTTGCCTCACTGGGTGTAGAAAATGCGTCTTATATTCGTTAGCATAGCTAGCTAACCAGATGCTAATAGCAACAAAGTTATTGACTGTATGATCAGTGTGACAGATGAGCAGATCGCCGCTGGCTTTCAACTAAAGACACAGCCACGCAGAAACTGCAGCATGTGTACGGCTCCTTATCGGTACTGCAATTTCTGAAGTGCTGGAGCGGCGTTCTGGTGTTCTCCGTCAGAACTGCACCCCTGTCAGTCGAGACATAAACCACGTGATGACACGTTAGACTCGTGTTGTGTTCAAGGACCCTGAACTTGGCCACGAAAAACAGGTACTCGCTTGTTTAATTTTTTTGCGGTCTAGATTTCTTACACTTTTTTATTTTTTGCGTGTGTTTATAAATTACCTCGAGGGCCGTACCAAATTGTCTCGCGGGCCATATACGGGCCGGAGGTTCCCCACCCCTGCTCTAAACCAAGATGGACGACAGAAAGCCACATGGACCAAGTCACCCATCTATATCTTGCCAATCCTTTTATGGAAAGCGTCCCCTGCAGGTATAAAGCATGTGGTGACATCAAGTAACAACTAAGGAATCATATAATTCATAAATGATCAAAGTATTGATTTTATGTTTGCAGGAAATCCTGATCAACCACCTCTCCACTACAGTGGACGTCATACTGGCTATATTTCAACTACAATTCATACTGGTGCTGCTGCTGTTGTTCCCAGGGCCGTCCCTCCCTACAGGCAGATCATGCAGACTGTGTGGGGCCACACCTTGTGGAGGGGGCCTCACCTTGTGGAGGGGGCCACACCTTGTGGAGGGGGCCTCACCTTGTGGAGGGGGCCACACCTTGTGGAGGGGGCCTCACCTTGTGGAGGGGGCCACACCTTGTGGAGGGGGCCACACCTTGTGGAGAGGGCCACACCTTGTGGAGGGGGCCTCACCTTGTGGAGGGGGCCTCACCTTGTGGAGGGGGCCACACCTTGTGGAGGGGGCCTCACCTTGTGGAGGGGGCCACACCTTGTGGAGGGGGCCACACCTTGTGGAGGGGGCCTCACCTTGTGGAGGGGGCCACATCTTGTGGAGGGGGGCCCCACCTTGTGGAGGGGGCCACACCTTGTGGAGGGGGCCACACCTTGTGGAGGGGGCCACACCTTGTGGAGGGGGCCTCACCTTGTGGAGGGGGCCACATCTTGTGGAGGGGGCCCCACCTTGTGGAGGGGGCCACACCTTGTGGAGGGGGCCACACCTTGTGGAGGGGGCCTCACCTTGTGGAGGGGGCCACACCTTGTGGAGGGGGCCTCACCTTGTGGAGGGGGCCACACCTTGTGGAGGGGGCCACACCTTGTGGAGGGGGCCACACCTTGTGGAGGGGGCCTCACCTTGTGGAGGGGGCCTCACCTTGTGGAGGGGCCACACCTTGTGGAGGGGGCCTCACCTTGTGGAGGGGGCCTCACCTTGTGGAGGGGGCCACACCTTGTGGAGGGGGCCACACCTTGTGGAGGGGGCCTCACCTTGTGGAGGGGGGCCACACCTTGTGGAGGGGGGCCTCACCTTGTGGAGGGGGCCACACCTTGTGGAGGGGGCCTCACCTTGTGGAGGGGGCCTCACCTTGTGGAGGGGGGCCACACCTTGTGGAGGGGGCCACACCTTGTGGAGGGGGCCTCACCTTGTGGGGGGGGCCACATCTTGTGGAGGGGGCCCCACCTTGTGGAGGGGGCCACACCTTGTGGAGGGGGCCTCACCTTGTGGAGGGGGCCACACCTTGTGGAGGGGGCCTCACCTTGTGGAGGGGGCCACACCTTGTGGAGGGGGCCTCACCTTGTGGAGGGGGCCTCACCTTGTGGAGGGGGCCACACCTTGTGGAGGGGGCCTCACCTTGTGGAGGGGGCCACACCTTGTGGAGGGGGCCTCACCTTGTGGAGGGGGCGACATCTTGTGGAGGGGGGCCCCACCTTGTGGAGGGGGCCACACCTTGTGGAGGGGGCCACACCTTGTGGAGGGGGCCTCACCTTGTGGAGGGGGCCACATCTTGTGGAGGGGGCCCCACCTTATGGAGGGGGCCACACCTTGTGGAGGGGGCCACACCTTGTGGAGGGGGACTCACCTTGTGGAGGGGGCCACACCTTGTGGAGGGGGCCACACCTTGTGGAGGGGGCCACACCTTGTGGAGGGGGCCTCACCTTGTGGAGGGGGCCACACCTTGTGGAGGGGGCCTCACCTTGTGGAGGGGGCCACATCTTGTGGAGGGGGCCCCACCTTGTGGAGGGGGCCACACCTTGTGGAGGGGGCCACACCTTGTGGAGGGGGCCACACCTTGTGGAGGGGGCCCCACCTTATGGAGGGGGCCACACCTTGTGGAGGGGGCCTCACCTTGTGGAGGGGGCCACACCTTGCGGAGGGGGCCACACCTTGTGGAGGGGGCCACACCTTGCGGAGGGGGCCTCATATGAGCCCCCCCTGGCGCAATTAGGGTGGCGCGGCATGGTTTCGCCGCTGCGAGGCTCCACTAGCACTCATCAAATAACTGTGCGGGGCCTCAAATTGGCCCCTGGCCCTGGTAATTCTTGAAAATACTTCATTGCAATATCTTTCTGGGCCGTAAATCAATATACTTATGTTATTATAATGTAATTTTAAGTTTGCACATCTTTATTTATAATTTTTTCAAAATGTACATCTCTTCAGTTCAAACCCTGAATGCATACTGTCCACCTGAGTGGACATATACAAATCTATTTGAAAAAACTAGATTAAAAAAAAAAGTTCAAATCTTGTTTTTCATGCCCCAAGAGCAATAAAAACACTTGGTACAAAATCCTGACTGAGGTTTTCATAATTCATGCATGAAAGGGTTTTAAATGCAAATCAATTTGAACTTTTATATAATGTCAATTTCTGGATTTTCTTTTTGATGTTCTTACTCTCACTGTTAAATAAAACTACCATTACAATGAGAGACTGATCATTTCTTTGTAAGTGGGCAAACACAATCTGCAAGGGCTCAAATACTTATTTCCTCCACTGTATGTTATATTAAAGATGCATTAATATGATGTATCTCTCACTACGACGGGGGATATATATTATATTAAAGATGGAGTCATATAAAGCCCATTTTCTTCAAATGTACTTTTATTAGATTTCTGATTTTCCTTTAGATTCTGAAATTCTGCAGACGAGGAGGAAATACAAATATTACATTTTATATTCTACTTTTTTAATAAAAAATCTGATATATTTTTTATTTTCCTTCTATATGATATATAAAGTATTGATCTCTCACCACAGCAGGGGAGGGCACGTGGATGCTGCCCACAGACCGCGGGCGGATCTGATTGGCCAGATGACAGAGCACCACTCCGTCCATCAGAGAGGAGCCCAGGTCTTCAGGGAGATCCACCTTCAGACGGCTCTCTATGCTCTAAAGAGGAAATACAGACATTAGGTTTTAGATTACACTTTTTTCTCAAGAATCTGATTTTTAAATGTTTCTCTGAAATTGAGTTTTTTTCAGATAGATTCTGTTATTTTTCTAGAAAATCAGATTTTTCCACTAAACTTGGACTTTTTCTCAGAATTTAGATTTTTGTTCAGATTTCACCTTACATAAACGTATTGGTCAAAACTGCCTTTTTTAAATTGTAATCCCCCACTAACTAATGAATGATTAAAGTGTCTCACGTCTCTCAGATGCTCTGTGAGCTCCAGCTCTTCTCTCAGCTGCTCCATCTTCCTCCTCATCGTGAACTGAGGGTCGACAGATTCAAGACTCTTGTGGCTCCGCAGGAACACTGAGGAAGAGGAGGAGGAGGAAGAGGAGGAGAAATTAGGATACATTTACATTAACACAGCCAGGGTCTCTCTTCTCTCAAACATATAAATATCTCAGGCGGTCACACTTCTGACTTCTGAGGAAAAAACTAAGTTTGCAAAGCATGCTAAAGCTCCAGAAACACACACACACACACACACACACACACACACACACACACACACACACACACACACACACACACACAACACACACACACACACACACACACACACACACACACACACACACACACACACACACACACACACACACACACACACACACACACACACACACACACACACACACACACACACACACACACACACACACATGCCTAACCCTAAACCTAAACCTAACCAAGTCTTCACCCTGAAATTAATGATTCCCCTTATGGAGATCTCCAATTTGTCCCCATAAGGGAGGCGAGTCCCCACACGTGACTGTGTAGACTAGAGATGTTAAGATTCACCGATTCGCATCGGTGCACCGGCATAAACGCTCAAGATGCGAGTGCACCGGTTGAAAGAGTGCACATCGGCTACAGTTTGGGTTGAACCGGGTTGAACTCGCGATGCATCGATTGCGTAGCGTCTTTGCATCGGTAAAAAACCGATTAATTCATATAAAATCCCCTCATCTTGTCAACGCTCAGCAGAGACGATCTTTGATATTTGCTTAGCCACTACGGAGGCCGAGAGTCTCAGTTATCAACACACACGGAAGTTGAGGAGAAAGAGAAACACAGCGCGCCGAAAGATACCTACAAATCAAACGTTTGGCAACACTTGGGATTGTTCAAGAAAGACGGTGTAATAGTCCTTTATGCTATAGAGCTGACCGCAGGTCATGGAGAGTAATAAGGTATCCGTAGACCTTTGTATGAGGTATCTTTATTACTAGGTCTACAGCCATGATACATAGATCCGTCCTAGATGCGGGCTTGCATACACACAGTGTCACTCCGCAGCCGCACCCCATCAGTAACGTCCTGATGGTATATGTGCGCGGCACTATGTACTACAGACGGTCAACTTGAAAAATCGCTCGCAAATTGTTAACGATGCCGAGCCGCTTTAAAGTACACAAGTAGTACGAGGAACTTAGCGACGCACATAAAGAGGCGACATGGGGTCTGCGGCTGAAAAGAGAAACCTCAAAGTTAGACGAGTGAAATCACTCAGTGAGGGGTTCTGTCAGAGAGAGGTGTTTAGTTTACAGCAGCCTGTGACGGCCAATCACAGTTTAATGTCTTCCTCACTGTGAGCAGTTATGAAAGACCTGTCTGTGAACGGTTGTTTTCTTTATTGTTCCTATAGAACCCTCTGCTTTCTGCTCTCTGGTGAGTCAGCCTCTGGATGAGTGTTCAGCACATCAGGCTGCAGCTGTATGGGCGTTGCTCTATGGTAGCTGTTAATCATGAGCAATGCATCCTTACATTGTTTTGAGGTGTTATAACATTGTACTCTGGAGAGCTTTTAAAGGTAAACAAATAAACGGCATGATGGGATGTGCAGTACCAAATATATAAAGCACTTTTTTGTTAATGTATGATTTGCTGCATATAAGGAATCAAACAGAAATCCTCTGTCGTACCAAATTGAAGTATCATTATTTTTGCATCGTGTTGAATCGCATCGCACTGAATCGCATAATGTTGAATCAAATCGTATCGAACTGTATCGCAACAGGGGTGAATCGTATCGTATGGCATCGCCTGGTGTTTCAAATGTATCGTTAATGTATCGTATCGTGGCAACGTATCGAGATGCGCATCGCATCGGCCTCAGTGATGGAGATGCACATCCCTACTGCAGACAGATTTAGGTCCCCACAAGTATAGTAATGCTAGGCCACACACACACATACACACACACACACACACACACACACACACACACACACACACACACACACACACACACACACACACACACACACACACACACACACACACACACACACACACACCACACACACACACACACACACACACACACACACACAAATAAAACTGAACACAGCTTCAATGGTTAAGTGCATTTCCTCGAAATGGCCACAAGGGGGAGCTATTTAGCAACACAAAAAAACTCATTCTGATTTTTAGATTATTTTTGCAGAATTTAGACTTTTTTTAAATCACATTTAATAAAAAATATTGAAATACTTTTTGATTAATTTCTTGCTTATTGTTTTTTAAATATTTGTCAGTCTTCATGGGATTGTGCTCAGCTGATTGGTTCGTTTGTCTGTCATTTATTATTATTTGTTTGTTTTTCTCCTCCAGTCTGCCAGTTGGTCATGTGACTGGTCTGGATGAGTGTGGATGAATATTAAGGAGTGTTTGTGTTTGATATCCGCTCTGTGGGAGGCAAAAAGAGGGGGAGACAAGGGAGGGGAAACCATGCTATCTTTAAGATTCATCTTTATAGGTCAGGACATTTTAAAACGCCTCCTCCTCCTCAGATTCCTGTTTCTGAGCCTCCTCCTCCGACGGGCTATTTAAAGGGTTTGAAGGATATTTTAAAACTGTGCATGATGTTTTTTTGTACGTCTTTCTCATGAATTATTCTTAGCTCTCTGAAGTAGAAAGCTGCTCCTTTCAGCAGATCAGTGAGTCAGGAGTAAAACACAAGACACGTCGACGAAGAGAGGAGGAAAATATCAATATCCTGCTGTCACTAAATACACTCTTACTTTGGAGTCAATAAAGGACATTGTGTGCCAAATAGTAATCTCTTATTTAAATACTGTATTATTTTTGCAATGAGTCTTTAAAGAGGCCCTCTGCTGTAGTGTTATAGCTTTCTGTGCATGTAAATGGTCTGAAGAGGCTAACATCCTAAAGTTTCTCGCGGTCCAACACGTTGTAGGTGGTAGACTGTCGGGGGACACCTTACTTCTTCCTTCTCTCTGTATCCGTGTACTCTCATGTTCCGAATAACCCAGCTTCCCCCAAATGTATTTTTGGTGTCTATCTACGGCGGGATCCTGAGTCGTGGCTGAACCTGTCACTGTGGTCCTGCCTGACTCCCATCATACTGCTTCCCTGATGGCTCCCACAGGATTGTTGACATCCCCGTGGATTCATCTTCTTATTACAGACACATGCATTTCCAAACATTTGGACTATATGCTGTAAAATGTATTATCTTTTCGATTTCCACACGGCATCTATTGCACGTCTGTCCGTCCTGGGAGAGGGATCCCTCCTCTGCTGCTCTGCCTGAGGTTTCTCCCATGTTCCCTTTAAACTGTGGGTTTTCTCTGGAAGTGTTTCCTTGTACGATGTGAGGGTCTAAGGACAGAGGGTTTAAGGACACAGGGTCTGAGGACAGAGGGTCTAAGGACAGAGGGTTTAAGGACACAGGGTCTAAGGACAGAGGGTCTAAGGACAGAGGGTTTAAGGACACAGGGTCTAAGGACAGAGGGTCTAAGGACAGAGGGTCTAAGGACAGAGGGTTTAAGGACACAGGGTCTAAGGACAGAGGGTCTAAGGACAGAGGGTCTAAGGACAGAGGGTCTAAGGACACAGGGTATAAGGACAGAGGGTCTAAGGACAGAGGGTCTAAGGACAGAGGGTCTAAGGACAGAGGGTCTAAGGACAGAGGGTCTAAGGACACAGGGTCTAAGGACAGAGGGTCTAAGGACAGAGGGTCTAAGGACACAGGGTCTGAGGACACAGGGTCTGAGGACAGAGGGTCTAAGGACAGAGGGTCTAAGGACACAGGGTCTAAGGACAGAGGGTCTAAGGACACAGGGTCTAAGGACACAGGGTCTGAGGACAGAGGGTCTAAGGACAGAGGGTCTGAGGACAGAGGGTATAAGGACAGAGGGTCTGAGGACAGAGGGTCTAAGGACAGAGGGTCTAAGGACAGAGGGTCTAAGGACACAGGGTCTAAGGACACAGGGTCTAAGGACAGAGGGTCTAAGGACAGAGGGTCTAAGGACAGAGGGTCTAAGGACAGAGGGTCTGAGGACAGAGGGTCTAAGGACACAGGGTCTAAGGACACAGGGTCTAAGGACAGAGGGTCTAAGGACAGAGGGTCTAAGGACAGAGGGTCTGAGGACAGAGGGTCTAAGGACACAGGGTCTAAGGACAGAGGGTCTAAGGACACAGGGTCTAAGGACAGAGGGTCTAAGGACACAGGGTCTGAGGACAGAGGGTCTAAGGACACAGGGTCTAAGGACAGAGGGTCTAAGGACACAGGGTCTAAGGACAGAGGGTCTAAGGACACAGGGTCTAAGGACAGAGGGTCTAAGGACACAGGGTGTCGTATTGTCATACTGATATTCTGTACAAACTGTGAAGTCCACTGAGACAAATGTAACCTTTGTGATATTGGGCTATAAATAAACATTGATTGATAAGGGGCGGGACATCTCTAAGCGGTTGACCAATCACAACAGAGCCGGCCAGCTAACCAATCAGAGCAGCTCTGGTTTCAGACAGAGGGTGAAAAGAGGTGCTGCAGCTCCTCCGTGTTATTATTTTATTACGCTTATAAGTAAATGTGCAACTCAAAGACTAAACTCTCCCTGCGTCAACATTAATAATTAATTTCCCCCGGAGATTACGGCCAGCGGAAAAACCATAAACAAAGATACAGGGAAAAGGAGGCCGAGAGGGAACCAATACAAACACAGATGGAGGCACTATTATACACACACACTTACATATATCACACACACACTTACATATACCACACGCACACTTACATATACCACACGCACACACACACACTTACATATATCACACGCACACACACACTTACATATATCACACACACACTTACATATACCACACACACACTTACATATACCACACGCACACACACACTTACATATATCACACGCACACACACACTTACATATATCACACGCACACACACACTTACATATACCACACGCACACACACACACTTACATATATCACACGCACACACACACTTACATATACCACACGCACACACACAC